TTGTATTCTTTATCATCCATATGTTCTTCAACATTTTTTCATCCATGTGTTTTGTATTCTTTATCATCCATATATTCTTTTCCTTTTTAGATTTTGAACAACTTTTTGGGGTACTTACATACTATCACAACCATGCCCACTTTCATAATAACTCACCAAAGTGGCAACCCTGATTTCGAACGAGTAGTAGGTGATGAATTGGCAACCATGTGCTTCGTTTCGTATTTCTCTGCTTGCCTCCATTTTAAGCCTAACCTTTCGTTGATATGGTAAGCTGGAATACTTAAATGCCGAAGTAGGATTTACCGAACTTTTAAATAATAAAATTAATAATAATATAATTATTATATTATTATATGTAACAATGAAATAATAATATAAGATAAGATTAATAATAAAAGAGTAAGAAAATAAAAATAAAAAATAAAAATTAGTTTTTCTTTTTCTTTTATTGATTATTATTACTTATTTATAGTTACTTATTATTTTTCACATAGTATTTGTCGACTACGTGTTCCAAATCCCAGACAACGTATTCCTATTTTAGGACTCATGAGGTTTTATTTAACGTCGCCAGTATGGTTGTGATAGTACATAAATACCATTTTTTGTTAGTTCTTTAGTCAACAACGTATATAATTTAAAAATTCATAAGTGAACAGTTTTTCCAAAACTTCCAGAAAAATAATTAGTTTTAAATTGTAGCAATTTTGAAAAAAATTCAGTATCTTTTTTTTCCTACCGAAAATAATTTTATCGTTTCTATTTTCAAGGAAATATGCTTTATTTCCAAAATGAAATCGGAATGGGGAAATCACAGGACAATAATGAATTAATACGTTAACATAAACGAGGCAGTAATAAATATGGAAAGAAAGAAATCTTGTACAAATATATATATATATATATATATATATTGCCTCAGATCAGGACTATGATAACTTAAGATCGAAAATTTTGATCAGATACGAAAAATGTTCAAATTTTGTTTGTATTTCTTTCCTCTTTGAAAATCAGTGTATATGATGGTCAGGTAAAAATGACGAAATACACTTGATACAAAAGGAAAGAAAGTGCTAATTTCAAATTCAAATTACTTTTATTTTCCTTTCCACATTGATTCTTAGAGATATACTTCAAGTCATTACAGTACGACTGCGCGGCAGACCTTGAAGTACGTTCTATTTTTCCAACATAATACGGAATGCTTAGATTTTCGGAATCTAATGTTTTATATTTTATATTGCTAAAGCAATTAATTTCACTTTAATTTCTTTGAAAATTGCATAACATAAATGGAAAATTTTCAATACATGTTTATTTTACATCAGAAAGGATGAAACAGAATGTAATATTTCACATACAGAAAATATAAATTAACAAAAAATAATATTTGTGAGCTTAAATTATGCAACAAAAGTTTAACTGTGAAAAGTAAAATAAATAAATAGACACAAATCAATTTTAAATTGAAAAATTCAACATATCTAGAATTTTTATTTCAAAATTTCACTTTATAACGAATTATCTAGCGAGGTTTCCTTCTTGATACTAACTT